TAACTTTCCTATTATCTGGCCTAGCTGAACTACCAGCCCAACTACTAACTGCCCTATTCATGCGTCTTATTACCAGGCGTAAATTATTTTTCATATTAATGGCGTTAACTGGGACATCGAGTTTAGCCGTAATACCCTCCCGGAGCGAGTGGTTTAATGTAGCATGCGCACTTATAAGCAAGTTTGGTGTGACCAGTGCCTGGAATGTCATGGCTATTATGGGACACGAGCTCTACCCTACTGTACTCAGACATAGGGGAATGGGAGCCGCTTATGTCGTCGGTAGGATAGGCGCTATTTGTGGACCATTTATGAAAAATTTGGTAATATGAAATATTAGCATTTAGTATTTTAATTAGATTAATTTAGATTAAAACTGTAAATTAATTTTTATAATTATTTTATAGACTGCAACCTATGGCCTGGCTGTTGTACTTGTAATGTATGCCAACCTATCGTTTATTGCCGCCATATTGGCGTTATTTATGCCCGAAACCAAGGGTCAAGAGATACCTGATACTATTGAGGAGGCTGAGCATGGTCATTTAAAGCGAATTAAAGTCCAATTTAACTAAATTATTGGTTAATGCGAAATATATTAAACGTAGGTTTTATTATGTAAAATTTTCAACAAAATAAAAGTTGACTTAATTAAATGATCATTTGTTTTTAATTATTGTACACAGAATTTATATTACTTGCTGAAATTAAACGCATGTAGAATTTTATAAAATTATTTAATTAAAATGTACAAAGTAAAAATGTTTTATTTTATATTAACCACATATTAAGAAAATAACTAAATTATTACTACTTGACTTAGACCATGACTTAAGAATAAAATTTAATGTATTGTGTATTTTAAAATGCAATATTTTATTACTTTAAAATAATTTAAGTTATTGTGTCACATGTTTTCCATAATAATGTATATACTATTAATATTTTAGGATAGTTTCTATAAATATTTTTAAAAAATGAATTTGGTAAACAATTATTAAACTTAATTTCTATCTATTACATTTTAATATCTACTTCATATATACTGTACTATATATAAATTGGCTTGTTTTAAATTAATTCATTAATATTTTCATACAATAATACTCTGTATTGTAGTTCTCTGTAAATTTAAATTAATAAACTATTTCTCCGGGAATATTCAGGAAATTATGTGCAAAATTATGTAAATCTCGGGGTTAAAAATTTTTAGAGTTGGCAACCCTATTGTGGACCCATTGTACAGAGTATATCATTAGTTGAAAAACATTACTTAATAAATAAAATTCAATTCAAAAATATATTTATTGTTTCAGACAATTGGCAGACATTTGTGCGCTTGTCATAGGCAATAGCCCGACATAAGGCATTGGTTAGGATGACAGTCCTCGTCATGTCTACACTTCACTCCCTCCCCATTACTGGGCATCGCCTCCGTTAGCACAGCTCCGGGCAGAGACCCAGAATTCCTTATCTAAATAGAGAGACAAACCCTTAATAGATAAGTAAAGTACTGGACATATGTATGATTAGATAAAAAGATTAAAACTCATGATTTCTTAAACAAGTGTTTTTCAAATGTTTTTCATTACATTTGAATAGTTTTTCAATCACATGAATATTTGGTATTTATAATAACAATTTTGAGAAAACACGTGCTTTTATAAATTATTGCCGTAAGTGTTGAGTGTATTAATGGTGTTGCGATTGGAAAGCATTTTATCACTTATTTTACATGAATTCAAATCAATTGTTTTAATATTACAGTTATAGTTATTTTTATAATTATTTTATATTTGAATGTATTAATTGGTGTTTATTTAAATTACTTATATTAGTCTTGAAGTGACACTTAGGCCAAACAGTGTTTATAGTGATAAGTGTTGAGTGTATTAATGGTGTTGTGATTGGAAAGCATTTTATCACTTATTTTAACATTTATTTTTACGTGCCTTCAAATCATGGAGTTTAATCCAAATAAAATAAAGCCATCAAATAAAGACAATATTAATGACATTAAATTGAATAAAATGAAAGAGATCTGTAAAAGTGACGACAATTTTGTTATTAATGACAATAATGTAATGTATTAGTGTGCAAACCATGTAATCAGTATTTTATTAATTTCAACAAACAAACTGTGATTGACCACAAATTTAGTGCTAAACATAAAGACAATTTGACAAAATCAAATAAGCGGAAATCAACGGAAAATCTGTTTACTGTTAAGAAAGACAGTCCCGACTTCTATACACAGTTTTTCTTCAGTTTG